CACAGAAAGGCTCCCTATCCTCTTGTTTCTCTACATTTCTGTCACTGTTCCCTTTCTTCCTATGCACTGTTCTGCCTTCTCCCACACTTTCCCTTTTCTTTACTACCCATTTTCATCACGTTCTTCCCCTTTCATTTCCTCCACATTAGAATCACAGTTCATTATTTCCCTTCTCAGGCTGGCATTACAGTCCTACTTGGAGCTCCTTTCAGTGGAGAGCAGCCAAAACCCAAGTGGCTTTTACAGGACACTAACTTTGGAGGGCATGTGCTTCTGAACCTGGCCACTAGGGGGAGTGTGTGCAATATCTGTGGCCTCTTCCCTGCTGGAACAGAAGTCAGATGGATGGCTTCTGCGGTGGTATATAAAACTGCACAAGAGAACCTAGACGTGCCATCCGCCAGAATGAAAGAGGATCTGTATCGAAAGCATGTGGAAACAGAGCAAGCAGGCTAGGTGTCTCTAGGTGTCTACGTGATTGAGCTGGAAGACACAGTTTTTCCTGTTTTCAGATGGAGTGGAATAGAGACTATTGATGGAGTGTAGGTGTGTGTGGATGAGTGTGCATGTGTGTGTTTGTATCTCTGTGTGCATGTGAATGTTCCTGTGTACGTGGATGCACACATGAGAAGATATATCCATTTTTCCTTCCAACTTCTGGGCTATATCAACTTTGTTGGCCACCTCCTTGATGTCTGAGCTTCCCTTCAGCTGTCCTCTGTATTGTGTGTGGAAGGCCTCGAGGAGCCACTTCTGATCTGTGGCCGGGCAGTGAGCTCTGAGCACTCCTGCTTCCCACAGTTTCTCCTACCCTCCCACGACTGCATTCTGCCCTTTTAGCCGTAGTCACAGCTTTTGAAACCTGTTTTCGATGGCAACAGCTGGTGTCAGAGACCAGAGTGCTTGCTGTAAATGCTCATGATTGATTTCTAGGTGAGGCTATGCCATCTTTTGGTGTCTTCCTTACATGACAAAACCACTGTCTCAAAGGTTTGAGTAGCAGTGGTGTCAGGGAGTGGTTTTCCAGGGGGAATGGCCTCCGAATAAATGACTGCTGGCAGTGAACTGATCACTCAACCCTGTACTGGGCCAAGGACATGAGAAGGCCCCCAGGACACAGAAGACAAAGATTCCGTTTGGTAAGCATGAACAAGAGCATAAAGAACACTGGTGGAGAGAGGAGAAAGAGTTGGAAAGCATTACCACTGTGTCCATGAGGATAAGAGGATATAAATCTTAACTGACCTTGAAAGATGGCCGTTACCTTTTTCCTGTGCTCAGAGATAGTGCTTGCTTGTACCAGATTGATATCAAGTAAGCAAGGGAAATGAGGGTCAGACTGAGACCTGGTTTGGATTTCTCCACCCTTGATAATGCAACATAGGACTCACCTCTCTTAAACAGTAGAAAGTGAAGTTTCTAGTGTGGGGACCGATCCTTACACAGAAGGAAGCTTACCTTCCTGACACAGGCTCTGTGAATGGTGCATGCCCCGGTGATGTCAGGCACTGTGGCAATGTCTGACTCATGGGAGTTAATGTGAGAGGCCAGGGATATATCATCTATCTCTCCTTGGGAGCAAAGGGCTGGGAGCAGGTGGAGATTATGAAATGACAGCCATCCCTCTGCGATTGCAGAGACTGGCTGTGCTCCCCCTGGGAGCCCGGAATGGTGGGTAAGGTTGGCTTGGAAATTAACTCCTTGTATCTCTGCAGCTGAGGTAAGGCCTGAATCTGAGGAAATGGTACCTCTGTTTCTTTATGCCAGCCGAGGAACTCCATGAAGTGTGGACGGGGACTGTAAAGCCTTGTGCAAGGTCTGCGGCGCCACGATTCCCTTGCCCTGAGGTGCCATTAGAGAAGGTCTCTTCTGCCACGTTTCGTCCTTTAAATCCAGAGCAGTCTCAGAGCACAGGATGTGCTTGGTGAGAACTGGAGTATTCTGGAAAAAATCTCTAGCCTAGGGGACCACAGACCTGGATATAATTACTGTCTGAAGATGTTTGCAGGAAAAGCTGTAACTTTTCACACAAGATCCAGGTCTTTATTTTCTAAAGGACTCGAAAGATAGAGATCATAGGGTGGTGAAGAACTATGGAGCATTTCGAAAGACATGGAGTTGCCTGGCAGTGGATCTTAAGGTCTAGCCAGACTGGTGGGTGGAGACAGTTTCCTAAGCCTCTTACAGGGACATCAGTCTTCTTCCCGAGGACTTGGCAGGGGCAGTCACAGTGCTGGGCACCTGCCCTTTTGGAAGGTTCTGGGAAGAGGAGGGTCCTGAGCAGACGCTTTAGCATCTCTGCTGTCATCCTTGTGGTATACAGTCCTCCTCCCCAGCTGCTGGTGGGACATCTTTGCCAAATGCTCCAATGGGGGTGGAACGCAGTCTACTCTCACATGTCTCAGATCACTACCTGGGAAGGTTGAGGTGGGGTGGCAAGTGTTAATCTCAGATTGACAGTGGTGGGGCCGTTGGCAAAGTATGAAATTATTCAGCCTGGGAGATTTCTTGATGAGTGAATGGCGATAAACAGAATTTTTCCCGAAGGTATCAAGAGGACTATGTAAGAAGCTGCCAGAGCAGCTTGGCACTTAGTGAGTGCTTAATAAAGATGATCAGTAAATGTTCGATAACGATCAGTGAAGGGTTAGGCAACTACCTAGGCAGAAAAAGGAAGGCACAGGGCAAGAAGCACTGTTTCGCTGGGCACTCTGCCTACCTCCCCTATTCCCTATTGGTTGTCTGGGAGTCACTGGAACTCAAGTCCAGGGAGAGAAAGGAAACGAGAACAACAACAAACAAGCAAGAGTTATGCGCTTACATTTAGATGTAAAAGGAGGAAACTTCCCTCATAAACCTCACAACTGCCCCAAAGGACCGAGGACATAACCTGCCAACATAGGTATTGGAGATCCAGACTGGGGCACACTGCGTGGGTCTCAGGGGCAGAAGCAGGATCTACCCTTATGATTCCTTGCTTAATCTCCTAGTGTCATGCTCCATCTTCAGCAGAGAGAGGACCACACATATGGTGTTGCCCGGTGCCTTTCAGAGCTTCTGTCTCCGAGAGCAGCCATGCAAGGGAGACTGCCACAGAATGAGCAGGTTTTCATTTTGTGCCGGGTGCAGAAACCTCCTATGAAAAAAAATCTCATCTCCACGTGAGATGAGGGAACTGAGGCACAGATGACCCAACTTTGCTAAAGGGTCACAACTGTAACCGTTTCATTTCACTGCGTCTTGCTGGTTTTATAAAGAGAGACACGGGGAGGTCTTGCAGGGGACTCTGGAGTGGCACCTTACCTGCAAACAAAATAAACAGGGCTAGAACAAGGGATCAGGTGCTTGGGGGAACTCCTGAGGCAAACATACCTGGTGCTGTCCCAATGTCCATCCCAGGCTTCAGGTGTTGGGGACCTCTCCCTCAGACAGAATTTGCTGTGCCCCAAGATAGCCTTGGGCTAATGAAAGCAGAATCGAAGTTCTGTGAGTGATTTCCGAATACAGGGAGAGGGGATAAAAAAGAAGCAATTCGGGTTTTCTGGAGGAAGTCCTGAGGGCTGTCAACGGACTCTGCTATCCAGGTCGGGACTATGATATTGTCTAGACAAGGACTCCGGAGTCCTTGGACTGGTGTGGGACATTTATTCCACACACCTCAAGGGATCTGCCAGGCTTCTAGGAGATCATTTGGTGGGGTTTGGCTGGGAGGTTAGAGGGAGACAGAAGACATCGCCACCCATGTGTGTCGTGGTAGGTTCTCCACTGGGAACAGTTTAGAAAGGCTCACTCATCCACGTCCAGGCACCGTCATGTTTATAGGTAAGGAGAAGAGCAACCCTGAACGAGTCTTGGAAGACAAAAACAGTCTGAAGGGCAGGCGCTTTTATGTAACCGACCTCTACACGCTAAGGGTCTCAGGAGGCTGGCGTTTCAAGTCCGGCCCGGCGATATTTTTGTACAGATATCAGCCAGCGGACAGCAAAGCGACCTAAGTTAGGCGAGTCCGCGGGGCTTTGGAGAGCGAGGCGCCTGGTCGCACTGCCAGCTCCCAGAGTCGGCCCTGGTGAACCTGGGCTCCCAAGGATCTACCCTTGTCCCTCCTCCGTAGGACAGGTGACCTTGGACGCGCCACTTGACCTGTGAGCCTCAGTTTCCCAGACTGTGAACGTACAAGGCAATGCTGGACAGCTTAAAGGCGCTCCTAGGGGAGCCGAGGATGGAGACCCGGGGTCCGGGGACCAGATGAGCCCCTACGACTCTCCCGCCGCGGGCCCGTGCAGCCCCACTGCCCCCACGAGGCGGCGCGCCGGGCGGTCGGCACAGTGCGCAGGCGCGGCGGGCGGGGCGGGGAGAGCGCGGGTTAGTGCGCGGCGGCGGCTCAGAGCGCGCTGGGCGGCGCGAGGGGCGGGTTGCAGCCAAGAGAGGTATCAACGCGTCTGGCGGTCGAGTCCAGCCAGCGCTCCTCGGCTTCCCGGCCAGCTCGTTCGCTCGTCCCGCTGCCGTGCAGCCAGCGGCCCGCAGCGCGGTGATCTGGGGCTCCACGGGGCCGGGCTGAGCGGCCGCCGCCCGCCCCGAGC